ATTCTATTCTATTCTATTCTATTCTATTCTATTCTATTCTATTCTTCTGTGCTATTCCAATCTATTCTATTCTATTGCATTCCGTTCCATTCCATTCCATTCCATTCCATTCTATTATATTCTTATTCTATTCTTATTCTTATTCTATTCTATTAACTGGGAAGTCCCCTCCCCCATATATATATATATATATGTATATATGTGACATAGTTATGTCTAATTTGTCCACACTTGTATATATGTCTATATATCTTCCAGAAGCCCCACCTTGGAGAAGGAACTTGAATGAATGATTGTTAGATAAAATTAATTGTCTATAAGACTCATTGGACCCCAATTGCACAGGCTAAGCCAATCTCTTCAACAGAAACAGACAAGAATGCACTCACCCACCTGCCCACCTCTTCCCTCCCTTAAGCCAAAACCAACCTAAGGGGAAAACAGGATAGAGGTGCTGAAAGGGAAAAAATGTCTGTGGAGATTCTCAGTCATCCACGGTTGCCCCAACGATATTTTTTCAAGAGGCAACTGGACTTTCTTGTTTTTCTTTGACGGTGTTTCACTTCTCATCCAAAAAGCTTCAGCTGAAGCTTTTGGGATGAGAAGTGAAATGTCTTCAAAGAAAAAACTTGAAAGTCCAGTTGCCATTTGAAAAAGCACCTTTGGGACTGCTAAAAGGGAAGAAGATAAAGAAAAGCCAGAGGAAGCATTTGGGAAAAAATAAATTAAACAGAGCAACAGGTAACAGGGAAGTCCTCAGGGAATGACGTCAAAAGAAAAAAGTTCAAGATGGCCGTCACAACTATGCTTTCAATCCTTTGAGGTACAGGCAAGTCCTCCACTCAGACCACGATTGAACCCAAAATTTCTGTGGTTAGGCAACACAGTTGTTAAGTGAGTTTTGCCCCATATTACCACTTTTCTTGTCACAGTCATTAAGAGAATAACCGCCGTTAAGTTACTAACAAGTTTGTGAAGAGAATCTGGCTTCCTCATTGACTTTACTTGTCAGAAGGTCACAAAAAAATCCATCCCATGGCTCCAGGGCACTGCAACTATCCAAAATAAGAGTCAGTTGGCAAACATCCAAAGTTTGGTCACATGACCATGAGGATGCTACAACAGTCGTAAGTGTAAAAAATGGTCATAAGTCGCCTTTCAGTGCCATTGTAACTAAATGGTCACTAAATGAATGGTTGTAAGTTGAGGATTACCAGTAATGCAGAAACAAAAATGTACTAACTCTACCATCTAGCAATCTTGCAAGTATTTCTTCCCTTCTTAACTTTTACTCTCCAGAAAATTAGGTCCACATTCCTTCTGGGGGCTGAGATATCTCTTGTTTGACTGTCTCCATGGCTGTGTTGCTTCTTCTGGTCTCCCAAAGTTATTCCATATCAAAAACAATGGATAGAATAGAATAGAATAGAATAGAATAGAATAGAATAGAATAGAATAGAATAGAATAAACAGAGTTGGAAGGGACCTTGGAGGTCTTCTAGTCCAACCCCCTGTTCAGGCAGGAGGCCCTATATCAGTTCAGATAAATGGTTATCCAATCTCTTCTTAAAAACTTCCAGGGTTGGAGCATTTACAACTTAAGGAGGCAACTCGTTCCAGTTGTTCTAATTGTCAGGAAATTTCTCCTTAGTTCTTGATTGGTTCTTTCCTTGATTAGTTTCCATCCGTTGCTTTTTCTCCTGCCCTCAGCTGCTTTGGAAAATATCTTGACCCCCTTCCTCTCTGTGGCAGCTCCTGAGATATTGGAAGACTGCTGTCATGTCTCCCCTAGTCCTTCTTTTCATCAGACTAGCCATGCCCAGTTCCAGAATCCGTTCTTCATATGTTTTAGCCTCCAGTCCCCTAATCATCTTTGTTGCTCTTCTCTGCGCTCTTTCTGGAGCTTCAAACTTGGCAAGACTTTTGGACTTCCAACTCCCAGAATTCCTGAGCTAACGTGACTGGAGGAGGAATTATGGGAGTTGAAGTCCACAAGTCTTAAAACTTGCCAAGTTTGAAGGCTCCTGTTCTAGAGTCTCAACATCTTTTTTTACATTGTGGTGACCAAAACTGGATGCAGTATTCCAAGTGTGGCCTTACCAAGGCATTATAATTAGTTGCATTTTTTTTAAAAAAAAGGGAGTCAGGCCTTGATTGCATCATTGTGGCTGACATCTTGACTTTTCTGTCACACACACACACACACCCTCAAAACCCCCACCAGGCAGCCTTTAAAGACACCCATTCTTAGCCGTAAGAAAGCCTGTCACTTGTGGCATTTTTGCTCATTCCTTCATGTTCAACCATTTAATCTTATCAGCGAGTGTAAGGCGCCTTCTCAAGCATTCACAGATGATTAGCGGGAAACAAACACTGTGATCCTAAATGGAAATGCCTCCGTTTTTTGGCAGGGAGGAAATTGCAAAAAAAAAGTGGGGGGAATTCTCTGCTGCTTTTCACTGGATGGCTGTTTCTTCTGCAGATTACAATGAATAGGATCCTCCCTCTGATTAGCAAAATATCCTGCTCACTTAGACTCAGCCTGGTTCCAGATGCTGCTTTTACAGACGAAATGCCACTTATGGCAAAGCCTCAGCACATGTGGCTGTGTTTTACACAGCAGCGTGTAAGAACCACCAGTCCTCAATGAGCCAAGCTCCTGCTACACAGATGTCTTTTACATAATTTCAGATCTTTTAAAATCATTTTAGATATTGCTGGAATATATTTCTTAGGTGTTTAAAGTTAGTACAGAAATCCTCATCTTATGAGCACAATTGGGACCAGAATTTTCATTGCTAAGCAAGTCAGTTTTTTATTTGTTCATCCATATTTTATTTTATTTTATTATTTTATCTCCTGCCTTTATTGTTTTTTTAAATGGCTCAAAGCAGTGAATATATCTCATACTCCTTCCTAACAGAATAACAGTTGGAAGGGACCTTAGAGGTCTTCTAGACCAACCCCCTGCTCAGGCAGGAAGCCCTATACCATTTCTGACAAATGGTTGTCAGAATCTCCTCTTAAAAACTTCCAGTGCTGGAGCATCCAGAGCTTCTGGAGGCAAGTCATTCCACTGATTAATTATTCTGTCAGGAAATTTCTCCTTAGTTGTGTGAGGAGGATTAAGCTGAGAGAGGGTCTGGCCAAAAGTTCCTCTTTCATGTCATAAATGGGACTAGAACTCACAGTCTCCTGGTCTCTAGACCTTAAATCACTGGATCGAAGTTCCTCTTATTGCAGGGGTCCCCAAAGTTGGCAACTTTAAGACTTGTGGACTTCAACTCCCAGAATTCTCCAGCCAGCAGAGCTGGCTGGAGAATTCTGGGAATTGAAGTCCACAAATCTTAAAGTTGTCAACTTTGGAGACCTCTGCCTTATTGTATGGTTGTTAAGTGAATGGTGCTTGATGCTACAACTTTTTTGCCACTGTTGTTAAGCGAATCACTTCAGTTATTAAATGAGTCAGGTGACTTTCTCCTCAATGACTTTCCTTGGAAAGGTCACAAATGGTGATCACATGACCGCAAGATGCTGCAACCATCATAAATACATGCCGGTTGCCAAGCGCTCCAATTTTGATCATGTGACCTTGGGGAATGCTATGATGGTCATAAGTGCAATTGGTCATAAGTCCCTTTTTTCAGTGCCATTATAACTTCAAATATCACTAAATGGTTGTAAGTTGAGGACCAGCTGTATATGTCGTAGCCACTTTATAAAAGGAAAAGACAGGCTGCTGCAGTTTGAAACAAATGAGAATATCACAGAGCAAAATTTGTGTATAGGAAGATATCCTATGCATATCCATGAAAGGAAAATATATCTTACGCATGGAAAAATATATTTATTTTAGGTCTAGATAAAAAGATATTTGTTTAGCTATAAATACGAAGGCATTTGCTATTTCTTTGTTTCACAACTTTGGCAGCTTTAATATATGTGAACTTCAACTCCCAGAATTCTCCAGCCAGCATAGGAATTCTGGGAGTTGAAGTCCACATATCAAGATTGGAAAACACTGACCTAATAAGGAAACCTTTGCTTTTTAATAAGTTCCCACATTCCATCTCACCAATAATGATTGGCTAAATTATTTGCAGGTGCTCAGAGGGACACACTTCTACTGCAAGGGTCTTCAAACTTGGCAAGTTTAAGACTTGTGGACTTCAACTCCCAGAATTCCTGAGCTAATATGGACTGGAGGAGGAATTCTAGTTGAAGTCCACAAGTCTTAAAGCTGTCAAGTTTGAGGACCCCTGTTCTACTGGTTTAAGACTAAAAAAGTAACTGACTGACCATAAATATATTAGAATATTATTTAACCCTACTAACATTGATTGTGGTGCCAAAGCAAAGTTTGAGAGAGCTATGCAAGGTCTCACTCAGGAAAAAAAAATGATGAAAAATGTTTCTGATCTGGTTTGGCTGCTGAATCCTTCCTCACTTAACTTTTGCCAGCTTTTAATTAGTGTTTTAATATCTCTGGTTCTCAGTCATCTAATTCCTACAGGAAACATCCAAGTAATGATGGCCAGGATTGAGGGCCTGGCCAAGATAACCTTTCTTCCTCCTTTCCTTTTTACAGAACTCGAAACATGAGTGTTAAAATCAACACCAACACTTTTCAAGTGGACTCACCACAAGCATCACACTCCATCACGGTGTTCTTCAAAAAGGTTATCTCTTTGACCTGTGAAAAATCATAATGGGAACAAGTTCATAATCTTTAGTAACAGCAAAACTTGGTAGTATTTAGAATAAGGAAGTTTCTCCAATTTTATCACTCCATAATTAGTGCTTGTTTGATTGTTGTCTAATGTTACTCCAAGACAAGCAGAAAACAACACTTTAAAATCAAAGTACCATAAAAAAAAAAAAACCCAATGCTGGCAGGGCAAGCTATATAAACAGGAAACAAACCCCACACTCCGTCACTCTGATGATGTTACCTAGTTGGGTAATAAAATGTAAGCAAACAACCAAGTTCAGAGAGCATCACAGACTCCACAGTACAGGTCTGAGTTATAGACATTCTCTTCAATTGCAACCTTGGAGGGTTTTGAACATTTAAGCAGGATTAGACCTGCTCAGTTGTTGGATGGGAAATGTCCTGTGATTGATGTCAGTGGTGGAATTCAAAATATTTTACCACTGGTTCTGTGGGCACGTGCTTTGCGCATGCATGGAGCGTTTTAAAAAGGGGAATTTTAAGCATGAAAACTTAACTTCAGCGCTGGTCAGTAAAACAGCTGAGGTGCGGCAATTGCTCTGCCGTGCCTATCAGCTGAGCTACAAACAAAGGAAATATAGGACAGGAAAGGGTGGGAGCAGCGGGGTGGGCCCAACTGCTGACGGGCACTGCTGGATTGCTAGAACCGATGCGAACCAGCAGCATATCACCTGTGATTGACATGCATTTGTCACGAACACCTAGAAGAGAGGTTGCTTAGGAACAAAAGCATTTCCTATTTCCTTTTGCAAGCGGTGAGGAAACAATCTTCCAGCTCTAACCCCAAACTGATCCTTATTTCCCTTGTTTGTTGTCGCAAGCTGTAAATAAATACACGCCAGCTGCCAAGCCCCTGAATTTTAATCCTGTGACCCTGGGGATTCTGCAATGATCATTATTGGCCATAAGTCACTTTTTTCAGTGCCATTGCAACTTCGAATAGGCATTAAATGGTCACAAGTCAAGCACTGTAGATGATCTCTTTGATCCATCCAATTGAAAGATTGAGGACAATAGGGGAACTTTGTGAGCCTCCATCTCATCTGGTGAAAATGCAGACAGTTAGCTCTCTAGGAAATGTCTTTTAATGTTTCCCATACAATTTGGGGTTGGTTTTTTTTTTTCCCCAGACCCCTAATCAAATCCAGACCATGTTGGAGAGTGGGACAGAACAAGGAGTTATGAAAAGGGATTATGTAATGGAAAAAGATCAGAAGATGTGGATGGAGAGGCCTGACCCATACAATCGCCAAGGGTCGGACACGACTGAATGAATAAAATCACCCTCCTCCTCAGTGGACAAAGCGGGATGGAATGGGGATAAAAGAACTGCCTTGTTGAATCTTGATGAAAGTCCAGCTAGTTCAGGGATGTCAAACTCAAGGCCGGTTCTGGCCCACACAGCCAGCCTGGAAACAGCAAAGGACCGTCCCACAAGTGTCTTTGCCAGCGAAAACGGAGCTCGCTACCCCCCCACTCCCCGAGCTCTGTTTTCGCTGGCAGAGGGCTAGCAAAATAAAAACAAAAGGAGAAATGTTTCCCCTTTTGCATTTGAGCATGCGAGAAGGGCCAGGAAAGGAGAAGAGAAAAGACAAAGAAAAAGAAGGGAAGATGGGAAGAGAGCAAGGAAGGAAAAATAAGGAAAGAGGGGAAGGAAGAAGAAAGGAGAATGAACAGGGAGGGAGGGAAGGAAGAGAGAGAGAGAGAGAGAGAGAGAGAGAGAGAAAGAAAGAAAAAGAAAGAAAGAAAGAAAGAGAAAGAAAGAAAGACAGAAAGAAAGAAAGAGAAAGAAAGAAAGAAAGAGAAAGAAAGAAAAAAAGAAAGAAAAGAAAGAAAGAAAGAAAGAAAGAAAGAAAGAAAGAAAGAAAGAAA